ATATATATATATAAATATATTAAACAGAACATGATAGAGGAAAATGTTTCTACATGTGTGTGCAAATCCACTCTTATGAGAGTGCTTTAGAGATAGATTGCATACCTAATATTTTTCATAAGCACCAAACAATTTATATATATATATATATATATATATATATATATATATATATATATAATCTTGGTTTTCCTGTGGGAAAATTTTTTTTTTCTCGTCTATAAATCAACTAATTGCCCTATACTAAAGATGCCGCCAAAATGTCTGGAGCCCGGTCTGTTTGTCTCCAGTAATTGATATAATCCACAGAAATATGAAATATACTCAATGACAAGAGCCAAACTGGCATCTAGTTTTGTCATCTCTCATCCATGGCGTGCCGTCAAGAGTTTTTGTGGTTACAAATTCTTTCCAGAGCCAAATGCTCTGATGAGCTGTTTGTTGGTTTCAGACTTCATGAATTTAAGCGTTCAATTATGGCTAGCATCTCGAATGACAACATTCCTTTCAGTCCGTTAAAAACCGTCACTTCTATCCAATATTTTCTGCCCTGCATTTCTAGTCAAAGAAATCTTTCCCTATCCAATAGCTAAAAAAAAAATCATTCAAATGAAATGTCAATCGAAACTCAAAATAAATGAAAGGCCATCCTTCTAACTGGTCTTTCCTACTTTCTCCTAATGATATATTCCAATTTATTTTAACACACAACGCCACACACACACAACACACACATATCTAATTACATATAGATATATTATGAACGATAAAACGACAATAGGAAAACTGTTAATTTCTTCGCCGTTTCGTCCAATGTGGATTTTAGAGACAAAATACGAAAATAACTAATTAAAAAATAAAAAAATTAATTAATTTTCCCATTGCACTTTTTCACCAAATATTTTTCTCTACTGAATAAATCCATAAAAGGACCAGTGGATATATATATATATATAATATATATATATATATATATATAGTTATATATGCATTTGACGGAGTGGAGATTTTAGAGAAAAAATTAGCCCTACCAGATAACTGATAACTGATATCCATAAAACATGGATAATGAAACTAGAACACTACTTGTCTGGTTGAATCGGAGTTCTCTGTATCCTTCGAAATTCCAACCATTATGAAGAAGGCCGTGTCTTTAAAACCCAGTAATTTTAAAAAATATGGCAAAAAAGATGGATGAAATAGAACTAATAATGTAAATAATGTACAAAATAAATTCATCTCAGAAATATTTTTGACTCCAGTGAATAACTGTATTATGAAAAATAAAATTTATTTTTTGCTCTGAAATTTAAAATAAAACTATTTTTGTGCATTAATAAAAATATCTTAAACCAAACGGTTACAAAAAGTATCGGTTATTAAAAATGTTGTTTTTATATATATATATATAGATAAATATATATATATATATATATATAAACCAACCTTTTTAAGCTTTCATTTAATGTTAAATATACTGTACCTAACCAATATTTTCGGCGTTTTTCTTTTCATTCAAGATTTAGTGTTCCGAAAGACGTTATTTATAAAAGAAATAAACACCATTCAAACCTCTTGAAAAAGAAAAAAGGTTAAGTTTTAATTCTAAAGATTATCTTTAGGAATAAGGCTCGAAAATTACACCACTAATTACATGACATAGACGATTAAAACATTAATTAAGACATATCCGGTTTCTTGGCAATTGTGAATTCAATCTTAGTGCAGAAAAATTACATACTATTGATCAGGAGAAGAAAGAAACAAGCAACAGAAAAAAATCGAAAAGACTAGATACTATTATAAAATATGAACATGAACGGCGAAAAGTCGACGCTATGGACAGCATGTTCGGTTCAAATTTTCGAGGTTACCGACTACGACAGACGCCTGAAGAAGGTCAGAGGGTACAGCTGAAACTTTTTAAGACTTACAATCAAGATGAGCCGCCTTATCCGATTTGAAAAGCATAGAATACTGAGGCCGTTTAGCCAGGTCTAAATAAATGCAAATAAATCTAACAAAAAAAAAATAACATGCGCAGACGTTTAATCATTAACCAGCCAATTCAGTTCTAGGTGGATTTCGACATAACCAGTTTTTTTTTGTTTTGTCTTTTATTTCAACGGCAATTTTCACGAATAATGGCGCAGTTGAGAACTAAATCATCAGAAAATCGCTATGTGTCAAACTTAAAAATATAATGAATACGATAACGTTTTCGAAAAACATTCCAATAAAGCACTTGACTGCAATTTTTCCTTTTTTATTTTCTTTCTTTTTTTTTTTGTTTTCTAATTTTTCATTGTTTCATTTTTTTTTTTTTTTTGTTATTTATTTTGTTGCTCTTATTCACATCTGTTGGTTTCGTACCAGACACACCTGTGTGGAGAATGACAAGAGGCAGGAATTCTTTGCTATCTGATCTGCATTCTGAATTTCAGTTCTTTCACTCTGCTTTATACGAGCCAAGCAGTGAAAGACAGTTTAAAACGCATAGCTGGAGACGAAGAAGAGGAACAGAAGTTACATGAATATTAGAATAGATGAATATAACTGGATTCGACTGAATTATCACTAAACGCTGACGTCCTTCTCGCTGAAATATATATATATACATATATATATATATATATATATATATATAGTGTGTGTGTGTGTGTATGCTATGTGTGTGTCAAAACGTTCGAAATGTTTATAATCGACGCGTTTTACTGTTGGGTTTGACTTCGTCGGAATAATCATTTTTATATCCGATATTATTATACATCCTACGCACGCACACAGACACACACACACATATATATAGAGAGAGAGAGAAAGAGAAAAAGTTGCAAATTAAAAAATTAATGATGTTTTTTTATGAAAGTATTTATTTATTTATATATATATTTGATATTTCAGATTGACCTCAATCTTTCTTCAGAAATAACTGATTATTTACAAGTAGCGTCCGTCGCGAGATATAGACGTCACGTGATATGGAACGCCACTGTGTTCGAATATTTCTTAGCGTAAATCTAACTGTAATAATATTTTAGGTGTTGTTTAAAAAAAAATTAACTATATCTTAAAAAATGTTTAACTATTGAAATATTTATAAAGATTTAAAATACCCAAGTCTTTATTTATATATATATATATATATATATATATATATATATATATATATATATAACTTGAGTTTAGTGTATTGTGGCAGCAGATCATTATTTAAGCATATATTATTAAATATAACAGACAATGAAAATCTATTATATCTGATCATGAGCCGTTTTAATGTTCGAATGTCTGCTTTAAAAAATTTGTGGATATTTTTATTAAGTTTTATTAAAAAAAAAACTCACATGGGCCATCCTCAGTGTGGTTACACAGGCATGAAACAAATTTATCAACCGACAAAGATGATATTTTGTTATTTTGACATAGAAAATTGCCGCGGAATAGCAGACGCAGATCGTAAGTTCAAGACGGGGTTCTGTGACGTCATACCACGCGATAGACCAAAGCATTGGTTCCGTTGTAATACTTCGGTCAATCGCGTGCTATGATGTCATAGAACCGCAATACGAATTTACTATGTGCGTCTTCATCCCCGCCGTGCGCCGACGACTTAGGGGTAGAATCTTCGACAGACGCCAATTCAGTCGGGTTTCGTTCCTAGCTGGAGGCAACCGGACGTCTAGCCACACTTGATGAGCTGCGTTACAGCGAAACATTCTGTGGATGACTATATATATATATATATATATATATATATATATATATATATATATATATAAACTACGTCTAGAGATTATATGCAAAAGAGGTATTGTCAAACATTTTATGTAAAATTCATAGATATGTGTTATCCAATTAAATAATTTGTACTGTTATGTATAGCGAGTAAGCATGAAAGCAATTAAGTCCCAATTTTCAATTTCAGATTGATATTTAGTATTTTTTCAGTAATTATAGCAATTTGCTGTGTCAAGAGTTTATTTGCAAGAACTAGAACTATTATGGCTCGTAAAAAAGAACTAACAATGAATGAAAAGAACTATATAATCAAAACAATTAGCAAAAGATAGTCTTCGCTTCAAATTTCTAAAGATTTGAAAAGGGATCATCAAACAATCAAGAAAATATGTCAAATGGGAATTCAACCAAGGAAAAAAATGTCTCAGGCTGAATTCAGGAATTTAACAAAGCGAGATCTATCACATATCCGAAGAGAATTAATAGGAAACCCAAATACGTCAAGTGCGTTCATATTTGAGGCCGCTGGAGCTCCTATGGTGTCAAGGGAAACAAGGTGTAAAGCATTAAGGAAGTGTGCTGATGTAAAAAATCAAATAAAGAAACTCATTTTAACAACAAAAAAAACAAAAGGAAAGAAGATTGCAGTGGGCAAAAATACATGAAAACTGATTTCAGTGCTTTTTACAGACGAATCAAGGATCACCCTCGATGGGACCGATGGATGGGCTCGAGGATGGGTTTTCAAGCAACATGACTCAAGAAAATTTTTTAAACGCCAACATGGCGGCGGTGGGATCATGATACGGGCTAGGATTATTGGTAATGATCTCGTGGGTCCATTTAAACTGAAAGTCAGGGTTAAAATGAATTCCAAAAGTTACTGTGATTTTCTAGAGCAATATTTCTTTGAATGGCTTGATAACCAGTCTTTAGCCAAGCGTAGATCTATGATCTTTATGCAAGACAACGCAAGTCATGCATCAAATCCTGGTTGAAAGAAAAGAGATCTGTTGAAGATTCTCTTATGGACTGGCCTTCAAATAGCTGTGACTTGAGTCCCATTGAGAACCTGTGGAGCATCCTCAAGAGAAATATTTATTCTAATGGAAAGCAATTCAACAGCAAGTGTGACCTCTTGGAGACAGTTAAAGTTGCTGCAAACAACTTACCAGCCGCTAAAATTGCAAATCTAACATCAGAGGTTGACAATAGGCTGCTAAGTGTTACTGAAAAGAAAGGAGCATTTGTGCAATTAATTTTAGGAGGTTCTTATTATTTTTTGTTAATATATCTTTTATTTTTAAAATAAAATTTTTTTTTTATGTTTTTCCTTTAAGAAATTGACGAATTTGTTCTAAAATCTTTTCATATTATTTTTTACATTAGTTTTACAAAGTATAATAATGTAAAAGTATCAAAATAAATAGTTGCAAATAAACTACTGACAGTCAAATTAGTCTGTTTTGTTAACTTAGTAAAATTTATTCCAACCAAAGACAATAGTTTTCTCTATCATTATATATCTCAGTTAATAATATTGAGTAGAATCTAAACAACATCATAATAGGACTTTTAACATTAAAAACGCAACTCTTTATACCAATTCATAACTTGCATATAATCTCTAGACGCAGTTTATATGTATGTATGTATATTTTTATTATATATGTGTGATTGTATGTGTGTGATTTTGCTTGTTTTTTATACTAATGTTCACCTAATACAAAGTCCAAGAGCCACTAAAGGTAGAGGGGTACTGTGTGGTGTTGTATGAACAGTTCCTACGGTTATGCATTAGTCAAGATTATATTGATTATGAAAGCATCCTTCCCAGGAATCTGTTCCACAAAGCAACAGTTATAGGGAACAAGCTATTCGAATAGAATACGAAGGAAATGAGAATGATTCATCCCCGTGTACGTGGCAAGGCGTGTCCGAGTTGCAAAGTTCCGGGCGTGGTGGCTCGTCATACTATGGAAGTAGCAATAGTGCCGCGTGAGGTTCGCAACATTTCGTCTGTGGGAAAAGGGGTGTAGGGTGGAAAATCATTCATCACTCACAGCGCTTAGACAGGAGTTCAAATCAGGCAAACGTGGATTGGGCAGCTCCAGCAGAGATATGGCAGCAATGCACCATTTTTGTTTTGACCTGACTCTTGTAAAGATAGGAGGGTCGGTCTTTAGACTGAACAAGATATAAATGTAAATACGCACAGCAGTTAGAGTGGGCCTTGTGGTTTAATGGATATCGACTCGGGATGATAAAAAAGGGGAGCCGATTTCAAATTCCAGTCGATTTCGTTACATTACGCGCAAAATACCCTTAGGATAGATATGAACTGATCTCTTCTCCCTCTAGCTATGGGTTGAATAGCAGGGCAGACTGGGTTCTGTAGCCTTGGTTGGTAACGAGTCTATCGCAGAAAGAATTGACAACCTACTGCGGAAAAATCTTTAAACACTCTCTTTCTACATGCCTTGAGCCAGCATAAAATTAACATGTGAATAACATCTTATGTTGATGTGCAGTTTGCAACATTACAAAGTAAGCGTTTTTTTTTTAAGACATACCAGATGGTGGGCTAAATAAATGCAAGTGAAGCAGAATACAACTTTTCAGCCGACCCTCATAGACTATAGCGGTGGGATCAGATACTTACTGGAGCGGTACAATTAAACGAATATTTTTCCATCATCTTTAACGATAGATTGTATACACCCTTGTGCAAATTAATTATACAGGAAGACGTGGTGAGCCATGATCACCTACACCCTTGTGCAAATTAATTGAAACAAAACGAATAATTCCATTATTATTTACGTTTTTTCGTATTTTTCCAATGAAACCTGACCCAGTGCACATGTTAGTACTTTGTATGTCCATTCTACGAAGCCGTTCCTTGCAGATTGACCACGGATTCTCGATTGGATTTAAATCAGGAGAGTTTCAGGGCCAGTCTATAGTACTTTGCTTTGCTCACTTGCCAGTATGTTCGTGCAGCGTTACAATTTTCGTACGCTTCCTTGGGGTAATGTCCATCGTAGATAATGACCTTAAGACAACTAATCGACAGTCGAGATAATAGTGCCTGGGCTTGATAAAAATCTGATGTAAAAACGGATGACGCAATATTTTTCAAAGCCAAACAAATTTCATCATACATCCCGAAAATATATTCATATTACTCAAATCTCTGCAAAATAGAAATCGATTACACTCTGTCACTCCAGCGGGTCTAACATTGACCGTATGGTGAAAGAAAGGAAACTAAAGCAGTTGTGTCAATTAATTTGCACAAGGATGTAAATGAGTTCAATTTACGTTCTGGAGTGATCTTGAGTCCCAATAGAAAATGAACCTCTTTGAGGACCTCCAGTTCCTTTCTCATGAACGCATGTGTTCCCCAACGCTCGATCCTGGGTCCTACACTGTTTCTAATCTTCACTAACGATCTTCCCGTGTCATCAGTTCCCAAGTAGGTATCTATACAGACGACACCACTAGTATCGCTGGCAAAACTAACCTGACCGTTGGTCTTGAAAAGAACCTCCAATCTGTGGCTGACTGGGGCAAGAAATAGCTGGTAAAATTTAATGCCTCAAAAACAAAACTGCTCTCTTTTACTCACCACAAAGAACCCTTCCTACCTCCCATCAGAATATTCGATACTTAACTCCACGAGAGCGCCTCTCTGAGCCTGCTTGATCTCACACTGTCCGCTGACCTGATATGGAACAAATACATTGAATCAATAGA